AGTGATCCCCAAACTTCCCCTTCTCTCTCTCTCTCTCTCTCTCTCTCTCTCTCTCTAACTGCGTGTAATTTTCCTTTTTTTTTTTTTGAAGCAAAATTAGGGCTTTTCTGGATTGTCGACTGCGTTTTTATATCTCTCCCCCTTTTGATCGGAAAAAGGTAAATCTTGATCGAATCTTTCCATGTAATTTCGTGTTTTTAAGTAGTGAGCATTAGCTTCTGTGCATTGTGGAATATGAAATTTTCTAACTACATCTCTAATTTGTGTAGATTACATATAGAAGGTATAGAAGTACTTGAACTAGGCCTAAGAGAGAACTTGACTGGGAACTACTATGAAGAGTACGTAGCATTCAAGCAGCCGACCCCAAAAACTGGGATAAAGGCTTCATTGTTGTCGCCGTTGCATCTGTGCGGCCCTCATCTGCAATTATAAGGTGTGCTTTTATGATTGTCCACTCATGTGTGCATTGCATGTCGAGGAACAGAAGGAATGAGTTGGTGACCGAGGAAGTGAGTTTTAGGTGTGGCCAGGACTGAGCCAGTATGTATTTGCTTTGAAGGAGTATGTGAAGAGTAGCTACATGGCTGGGTGTGTGGGGGATCGGAGCGTTGATGGGTTGTTTGATGTGTTTGGGTAAGAAGTGCCAATTCAATGTGTGTGTACAGTATGCTAGCACGGGTGATGATTTTTTTTTTCTTTGTGCGTGAGTGCGCGCGCACGTTGGGGGGGTGTTAGATATAGGCATGTGTAGGTATCGAACTAGGGAGTGGGAGGCAGGATTTAACAACAGATTTCCATCTATGTGAATAAACTTGTGTGCATTTGCCTGTGCTGATTTAATGTAGGCATGCATGTGCAAGCAACATTGACAAGAGATTTCCATCCGTGTGAATGTACTTAGGTGTGTACTGTGTACATATGTATATATAACTATCATCATGACTAAAGCTTACAATCAAGTTATACGTTCCTATATGCCAATAAAATTGTAAGTTAAATTCTGTCTGTCTTGAGATTTTATGGTTCAGATGAAAATACTCTTTATTGTACGAGATAAGTAGGGATGGCATACTATGTTATGTATGAACATGTTGATTTTTTGTATTGTCTCATTAGTTTCGACATCTTTTTAAATAGGGTTGTTACTTGTTGCTGATTATTACCCAAAAATATTCACCATTTTAAGATAAACAACCTTAGGATTTTTATACAAAAGAATACCCTAAAGCTTTTAGACAAGATTTGGCGCAGTTTAGGCATTCCCAAAGTGTCAGTTATAAATCCACAACCCATGATCTTAAAAACCTCTTCCAAAATCCTTTTTGCCGCTCGACCTCGTCATTAGGATGATCTCCGTGTTGAGTTAGAGATTACTTTATCTCTCACTCTCCATGTGTGGAAGTTTTCAATTTATTCTTTTTAGTATTTTGCAGCGTATTTAGGGCTTTTCTGGCTCTAAAGCTGTTCTCTTTGTCTCCTCTGGATTGAGAAGAGGTAAATTGATCAGAATGGAAGTACGTCAAGAGTTTACTAAAATTAGTGTTAAATGATTTATTATTAGGAAAGGTAAAGCCTCATGGGTTTAAAGAAGTTTTGAACTTTTTTCCTTTAAACTATGATTTCTGCCTTATCTTTGTTTTTAAACATACTTTTCTGATTTTATAGACGTCAAAACATGTATTTTTAGAAGAGAAAATTTTGAGTGATAAACTGAGTTTCACTTACTGTCATTTACAGAATCAGTGTGTCAGTCTTATCTTTTTCACTTGCTATCATGTATTTTTAGAAGAGAAAATTTTGAGTGATAAACCGAGTTTCACTTACTATCATTTACAGAGTCAGTGTGTCAGTCTTTATCTTTTTTTGAACATTGTATATCTGAGGTTTTTCGCCTATGTTGCTTGACACTCAATGACTTCTCATTATACTTGATATTAATACTGTGGAGTTTGATTACTAAATCCTGCCTCAAATCCACCTAGGAGATTCTTTTTCCTTTTGCTTTCATCTCGTTTCTTTTTTTAATATTTTTTTGTGAACCACATATCTACTTTTGTGACATCAGTTTCTTATCTGATTATTTGGGTGAATACTACTGGATGGCTGTGTGTTGTGAGATTGATAATCTGAAAGGTCTGAAAGCTCCGTTTATTGGTCACCACTTAGCTTATCTTACGCTTTATCATCTGCATTTTTCTTTCTCATTGCCACAGTTTAGACGACCCTGTTGTATACTGCATTTCACTTATTAGTATAATAGATTTTTACATTTACCATAGGTAGAAGAGAGGTGATTCTAGATGATATGAATTCTTGGATCAACTTCTCTAGCTGCTTGGAGAATCACTTGCTATTGTCATCACCTATTTATAGACGCCAGCTTTTCTTAATAAGGTCTTTTGGTGGATACTGCTGTAAGGCCCACATGGAAGGACAAGGAGCAGCTAGTGGGAAAATAACTGCTTTAGAGGCAGATGCTGAAACTGTTATTAGAAAGATAACCCCGGTTCTAGACCCGAGGCGGCATAAAGGCCAAGCAGGTAAGGTTCCCCTTTTCCATAAAAACAATTATTGCAATTCTTCTGTTTCATCAACTGAAAGTTATCTGCTTTATCATATTTTTGAATTTTATTCAGGAAAGATAGCAGTTATTGGTGGATGCCGTGAATATACTGGTGCACCATATTTCGCTGCTATATCTGCCCTAAAAATTGTTAGTAATGCCTCTTCTGTTACATTTTATTATTCTCCATGTTTGTTTTAGTATATTCATACTTAAAAGATATTTCGTATCTTGATCTATGTTGAATTTTAAGAATTCTGCCTTTCTTGCACAGGGTGCAGATTTATCACATGTTTTCTGTACGAAAGATGCTTCACCGGTGATAAAAGGCTACAGCCCTGAGTTGATTGTCCATCCCGTGCTGGAAGAATCATACAGTGTAAGGTAATCTAAAGGTTTACTTAATGTTCTTCTCAGCTTGACGTACAGATTGATTACGTATTTCTTTCTTAGGGATGATGAGAAGGCATCAGTTGCTAAAAGGGTCCTTGCTGAAGTGTCTAAGTGGATGGAAAGATTTGATTGCCTCGTGGTTGGTCCAGGTCTTGGGAGGGACCCATTTCTTCTGGTTTGTTTCCTGCAATTTAAAAACATTCTCATGTTGTTTACTTCTTGGTTTTATCCTTTTTTCTGAATAAAACTATAATTCTAAGATACTTTGTAGATGTGGCATACTGGCATGAACTGGCTATCCTTGTCATTTAACACTTCATGTCTGTATTCCTAGTGTACTCTCTTTTATCATCAAGTTACGAAACATACCGGAACTATTGCACATTTTGTCATTTCTTACTTTATATACCATCTTGCCTGATAGCTAAATCTTAGGGCAATTTAATCCATTATAAGCTATGTAGCGAGAATACTTCTGTCATGAAGTTGGGTTGTGGTGGGAACTTGTCGGACGTGTATTGGAACTTTGTAGAACCCTCCGTATCAGCTTGTCATGTCTATATCAGCTGATTTTTGTCTATTAGATTATAAAACAAGGTTCAACTGCTCTGTGTAGAGAGGTTTGCATACTAATTTCCTAAATGGTTCTTGCAAAGGGTTGTCTTTGGTTTTTCCCTTATGTTTCCTTATCTCATAGTATATTAGATCCTTGAACCTTTAGAATGAGAAGTCTGGTTCATTTGATTTAGAATTAAAAAAAGGAAAACTGAATTTAGAGTAAGAAAACCTCAAGATAGTTAATTTTAACTTCAGCTAATATTTACTTTTGTAAACTTAGGATTGTGTTAGTGACATCATGAAGCATGCGAGGAAATCGAATATTCCAACTGTCATTGATGGGGTAAGTTTTCTACAAGAGACTAGGTTTATCCTTCTCAAAGTTATAATCATCAGCCTCTATATCCTCAAGAGTACACATTTTTTGCTTGCGACTTTATGTATGATATTTTGCTTTGTAGGATGGCCTCTTTCTTGTCACTAGTAATCTCGATTTAGTCAAGGGGTACCATTTGGCCGTTTTAACGCCTAATGTCAATGAGTATAAGCGCCTCATTGAGAAGGCTTTGAACACTGAAGTTAATGAGGATGATGCTCCTGAGCAATTATTGTCCCTTGCGAAGTGGTAATCATTTGTTTATCTAAATCATTGGCAAAATGGTGATCATTTGTTTATTTGTATTATTAAACACAACGTATTGATCAAATAATCACATAGAACTTGCCTCCTTGGTTAGTATTGGTGGAGTAACCATCTTACGTAAAGGAAATTCTGACCTTGTCAGTGATGGTGTTACAGGTTTGCATTCTGTCCTAAACATGTATTATGTTTATCCATCACTCTCAAGCCAATCCACTGAATTCACATACTCCTGTTCTATATGCACCTTGCTTCCGCTTCTTTGTGATAGTTTCCAGTCTTATATTTCAGACTGCTGCTGACCCATGTGCTATTTGTTCTACAGTTAATAAAGTGAGCAACTTTGGGTCCCCTCGGCGTTGTGGTGGCCAAGGCGATATCCTCTCTGGGTGGTAAGATGTGATACACATAACACATTAATCTTATTTAAGTTTCAGTATTACTTATGATTTGCTTGCAGTTTTCGCATTATGTCTATCATCTTCTGATGTAAGCCATAATCTCCAATTTTTTGTTAAGTTTGCTGATAAAGGCCTTCTATTATGATTGTATCATCAAGTTTTCTGGAACTTTAAATCACTTAGGGGGTTTTTTTCAGGTAATCGCTTATTAGGATTTTAATATGGAACACTTGATATTATACTATCTCAATGCTGCATGATCACACAAACAATTACAATTTTATATTAGCAATGTGGATCCAAGACTCTTGGAATGGATACATTACAGTGCAAATTAAATCAATAGCGTGACTTATTTTATTTTACCAGCAGAAGTCGACAAAAATAACTGGTGTTGCAGAGTTGGCAAGGCATGTAAACTGGGATAAGGTTATGAGTTCAGTCCTGCCAACAATAAGATCAAATAGAATTTCTCAACCATATTAGGAGATTGGGGAGGGTTTGTTTTTTACAGAGAGGGGGAGCGATCCCCCTTTTTCCTTTTTAGAAAATCAGATGGTTCATTGCTTGATCATTATAACATGAATAACCTTTTTGTACCAAACTCATGTATGTAATGATTTCTTACTTTCATCTCGCAGTTTAGTTTCTATATCAGATTCTTTAGTTTTCTCTCTTTCAGAACCTGAATACATATGTGAAATACAAGCTAATTTCCACATCCTGTTTTCTTGTAATCCCTGTGACACCAGTGTGGCAGTATTTTCATCATGGGCACGCTCGTCAAACAAAGAAATGGATGATAAAAGGTTCAAGATTTCTACTTATCAAGCATCTACTTTCATTCATAAGCAGATTCAATTTCAATTTTTGATATAATACTGTGACCAACCATTTACTTTTCGTGCCCTCACAAAAGTGCATCGAGTCCGATGATGCTGGGTTGTATAGCTGGTTCCTCGCTTCTTAGGAGAGCGGCTTCACTTGCTTTTGCAGACAAGAAGCGTGCAACCCTCACTTCAGATATCATTGAATGTTTGGGGAAAAGGTAGTATTTTGGTTCTCAAAGCGGTAGTTTTCTTCTTGAAGCTTTCAGCAACTTATAACATTACTGTGATATTTTGTTGATGCAGTTTGGAGGATATGATCCCTGCCGAACAAGGATAATTCTTGGAGATGCAATGCAGGGAGTAATAAATGTACTTGCTCTCTCTTCTTGTGCTTTGTTTATACGTGTTATGTACTGTTCTTGGAAGATATTGTTGTCAACTATGACAATCTGAGTTCAATGTTTGATGCACCAGTGCAAGTTATCTCTATAGATTTTTTTTTTAAATCGAATTATTCATGGATACAGCAGCTCCGCAAGTATGACTGCCATATGAATACTATGTTCTTTATTTACTGCGGCACATTTCATTTGCTCGATGAATGTAAGAGACATTTCTGCATGAAAATACTTGCATGCCACTTAGACTTTCAAGAAATCAAGCATTGTGTATGGAACTGTGTTTAACGCTTCTCTTTCCGAATGTTGAGCAAGAACATCTATCGACTATGGTGACAGGCATTTTGGCTGAGAAAAAAGGGACTTCAGATCTCTTTGAAGGAGTTGATATTCCTTTTATATTTAGGGTTAATTGTGGATACATCTGTCGTACTATCGCCCAAGTGCCGATAGACCTCCTTGTTTCTATTGTTGTAGATAGACTCCTGAGTGAATCTTTATTGACTATTTTACCCTCAATAGGTTTTAAAAAAACAACTTTTTTCTTTCTGTGAGGGTAAAAGTGTCAAAAAATTCACTCAGGGGGTCTATCTACAGCAACGGAACTACATGGTGTCTATTTGCAATTGGGCGACAGTACAGATGGTTTATTTGTAATTCACCTTAAATTTAAGACTAAAGGGACATATTCTTTAGTGCAAAGGTATTGTTTCCTATAAAGAGGTTTGTTCAATGTGGATGACCGTCGATCAGGATGTCATTAATATCTATTTTAGGAAGTGAGGGTTTTTCGCTATTCATCTCTATAAAGTTTTCTCGCCAAATTGAATAATGTTATAATTTCTATAATACTTTTTCTATCAAAATGGCGTATTCTATAAGTGTAATGTTCGTCTATCATCATCTATTTTTTTAATCTTCATTGGAAGTAGTATGCATAATACTTTAAATTTAATCATTCAATGGCAATAATGGAAACAAAATCTCTTGTCAGTTTGCTTTTGTGTCCTGGCGTATTGTAGATGTGTTTGGCAACTCCTCAAAATAGCGCTAGGATTATAATTGGTCCCATATGGGAGAAAAAGGTATGTTCGAGTAAAATTGGACCACTTTGCCTAGTTTTTTTGTAAGGCTAAATTTGACTCTTGAACTGATTTTAATTTGGTCCACTTCTTTCTTGGATTAAAACAAAATTAGCTTAGTTTATATCAGGCCAGCTTGATTTTAGGGTGGCCGTCAAACACACCCTTAAATCTTTTTTGGATCCACTTTTCTTGAAGAATTTAAGGGCCTGTTTGTTTTGATTTTTTTGAAGAGGAAAGTAGCGTGAAAACTGCCAAAACTGACAAAAACTGTCAGTTTTGGCAGACTTTTTTGCAAAAACATCTTTAAAAAGGATGTTTTTGCAAGAAAGCCTGTCAAAGACAGGCTTTCCTCTTCAAAACAAACGGCCCCTAAGCATCGACAAGAATTTACCATCGATAAGAATGATTTAGACAAGAATGATTTAGTGAAAGGGAAAGAAAGGGTAGACATCAACTTTTATTTCCTCACTTACAATAAACTAATTATAATCAACCAATTATTTATTTCCTCACTTCCTCGAACAAAATAAAAAAAATAAAAATGTAAAAATAAATCCCTAGCAGGAGAGTGAATATGCAAACAGAAGCAAAATCGTATAGAAAATACGCCACACGATATTAATTAATGTATAAACTTCTCAAAACACCAATATTCGTAATGTCCGTAACTACGTCTCCCAACAATTATAAGGCACAGCATCAGCATTCAGGCGCCCGAAAGTGAGAAGAGCGTATAAAATTTCAAGAAATGCATTTCAATTAACGACATCTTGAGAACATAAATATTTAAAACTTTATTATACATGTTAAGCTACCAACCAAATACCCCAATAATATTATTGCCAACTATATTTCCCGACATTGTACAACATAGGCATGCAAAAGCGTCTCCACTACACTACAACATGTTACAATGTTGGACATAAACATTTTCTTCTACGCCAGGGAAACCCGAAACCCCCGAATGAGCTCGTGTGATCCAAGAATTACCCCCACTGAAGTACGCGATATCCTTACTGTCTTTGCCGTTCTCATTCCTTTGGACGAGCAAGCCAGAGAGAGCTCAATGCACGGAGACGAGAGTGGTAGTCATGGATGGCGAGCAACGCACGTGCAGCTTGACGGGTTGTCAGTATACGGTGCAACTGTTGCAGTGTTTGCAGCCTCAAGTTGTCAGCCTGCAATTCAAACCAATAGGGATGAGAGCTCAGCCCAATATCTAAATTATTGAATTCCCTGATATATAATATATGGGTAAATTTCATAAACCACCATGATATTTGTGTGGTTTTGCACAAAACTAACATTAACTCTTTTTATTTGAGAAGACAACCTAAAACTTTCTAAATCTGGGGGAAAATGCACGCCATGAATTGTTGGAGATTGCTGTTAATGGCGTCGACAGCTTGTATAAAAGGTTTAAAACTATTCTCAAAAGAATATTGCTGATATACATAGCCCCCATAAGGACACAGTTGTCCAAAACATGCCACATGCAAACAACTTACTCAAATTGCCATCTCTAATGAAATAGTTTTAAGGGAGTTTTATGCAACACCCCAACTTTATGGTGGCTTTGTGAAATTTACCCTTAATATTTAGTACCCAAAAAAAACATGTTAGATGCACCTTACAGAAAATTGAAGTATATCTAATTGTAATTATCAATAAAAACTTAAACAGGCCTTTTTTATGCTCCTAGAATCTGAAGAGCTGATAATATAATTGCCAAGAGTCAACTACTACCGAACCATCATCAAAGTATAAGCTGGAAAAAAATTACCAAAGTTGAAGATTTTCACACCTTAAACCTTTCACCCTCTATCAATGTCTTACTTGGGAAGAACATGAACTCAAAACATAGAAGTTCCTCTCTACTTCTAAATTCAAAAATAAATAAAAAAAGGGTTCCTCTCTTATTAAATTACGAAATTGAATGCATTTCACACACTAAATTGAATAGAACAAAGAGCAACATATTTACCTGACAAAGAAAGTTTTCGAGTGTGCCCAACTTTCCCATGGCCATGGCCATCTGACCCACATAGTTTGCAACGTTTCCGGAACCACCTGCTGTGGGCCCGGAGGATCCAGAAGCCAGTGTATCAGCCAGGGATTGCTGCAGCGCTTCCATCCCCTGAGAAAGAGCATCTTCAGTTTGCTGCGAGGACTGCTGGAGGTTGCATATTCCCTCCAACTGCTGCTCTGTTAGCGGTTCTAGCTGATTTGCTAGTAGCTGCAATGCATCAAAGCAGCACAAATTTTTAAAATAAATGAACCACCAATGCTTCAGTAACAAAAAAAATAACAGTCGCAACAAACAGCAAATTTTTTCTGACTTACGAACACAGGGAAATTCTGCAACAGGGTAATAAAAAAAATACGAAAGGAAAAATCAATTTGACATTATGTCAGGAAGATCAACTATGTACACCATTCATCTAAAAAGACAATTGATGGAAAGATAATAATGGCTAGAGAGATACAGGAAGAAGAGGGAAAAATCTATCTATGGTTTTCTCGATCTAGAAAAACTTATAATAGTGTGCCGAGAGATGGAATAATTGATCATAGAAACAGAACAAGTATCCAGCAGGTATATTATTATGATTAGAAATGTAATATGATAGAACAATAACTAAGATGAGGAGAACTCAAGGAGAAAAGGACATACAGTCAATCCCTCTGATCATAGGTATGAATCAAAGATCGACTTTGCATCCTCATCTTTATGGACTAGTAATGGATGAACTTATCAACATAGTTAGCTTGAAGCTTCTTGGTGTATATTACATTATTTACGAATGACCACCACATATTAGCTGATGAGATTGTGAAGATGATAATTGTTAAAGTATAAAGATGGTAACAGACACTTGATTATAAAGGACTAAAAACTACTAAAATAAAATAAAATTATATCGACCATAATTTAGGAAAATTTTTGAGAAAGAACGAGCTTACAATTAAGTCAAGAAATAAA